AATTAACAAACGGAGACGTAACAATATTATAATGTTGGATATATAAACAAAATCCAACAAGCCTAACATAAAGCTCAGTTTGGTATACTGTTCAATTTTTAAATAAAACCCAACAAGCTTAACGTAAAGCTTGGTTTTGTAAAATCATAATGTTGTTTTTATAAAATAAAAATACAACAAGCCTAACCTAAATTTTGGTTTTGTAAGATCATAATGTTGTCTTTATAAAATAAAAATACAACAAGCCTAACGTAAATCTTGGTTTTGTGAGATCATAATGTTGAATTTATAAAATAAAAATCCAACAAGAAGCCTAATGTAAAGCTTGGTTTTGTAAAATCATAATGTTTTTATAAAATAAAAATGCAACAAGTCTAACGCAAAGCTTGGTTTGGTAAGATTATAATGTTGGATGTATAAACAAGAGCCAATAAGCATGAAGTTATGCCTAAAGTTATATAAAACGGGAACAATATGAACTGATGTAGTTCGAACATGTAAGTTGTTTCTTTTTTTTTTTAATTTGAACTGGCGTTCTTGAGATCACAATCTCTAAACCGATGTAATATTTTTATTTGAAAATGAATATTGGTAAAGAAATGTAAATTACTTAATAATATACCTGTTGTAGGAAATATCTTTAAACTTTGATATTTTTTCTTCTAAAACTTGTCTTTACTAACATTCTTGTGAGAGTGAGGTAATAAAATTTTTGAACACACCAACACAAATATCAAATTACTTTAACTACATCGTGTTTTCTTTAATTGAATTTTACATCACCACGAGTTAAACCTAAACTGGACTTGAATAAATATACTTGAGTTAATTCAAGCATCTAAAGTCAAATCTAAAGTGGAAATAAGTTACAAGATAACACAACCATGTAGCACTTGTTGTTTAGAGACTTCCGGATATGTGTCGTTCACACCAAAGGATTCTAAAGCGCCAACTATTTTAACTGCTCATGTTGTATTTCTGTTGATTCTTTATCAAGTCAGTCCCATTGCCACCCACTGCTATAGTGTGTACGGTCGTCACTCCCTCCTTTATAACTTGCACTGTCATGATCTCCGTCTACCGAGAATCCATAATTATGCCCTGGAAACCAATGCCCTCCTGTGTTACTGTGACTATAGGACGGCTTCTTGACGTATACTCTAAAATAAAAGAAACGTACCATATGCTAATACAGTAAACAGAAATACGAACCACTCAATAGAAACTATCATTGTGCACAAGTGTAGACAAAATTATAAACCTTAATATCCTGCTCTGTATAAAGAGTAGAAGTTCACTTACGGTACAGGAACCTCTATCGGCCTCTTCACAATAATTTCCTTGAAGACAGGAACTTTAACTGGAACTTTGACAGGCTTGGCGATCCTTATTATTTTATGAATCGGTACAGGAACGTAGTGGGGAACTTTCACTGGAAATGGAACGCTGACATATTTGGGTACTGGAATTGTCTTTACGATAGGAACAGGGTTAGTTCTGAGTACTGGAACTGGAATGCCGATCGGAACTGGTCTACCCACGGGCACGATCTTAAAAATGGAAATTGGTTTAACCACAGGCATAATCTTGGATATTGTTCGTACGACAGGATATCTTACGGGAATGGGGATTTTTTGAGGAATGTGAACCACATAAGGAACATGGAGTTCTTTATGGATGGGTCTAGGAACAGTGTGCAGCGCGGGAATCTTCCAGTCGGACTCGCTTCCATTGACCGTGGACGCCAACAAAAAAACCAAGCTGAACACTGTAGAAAGAATATTTTTGAAGTTAGACGTCATCTCTCAGCTGTCTCGACTATAATACAAGATATTTCACTTATAAATGTGTAGTCAGAGATCAGAATTCTTCTTGTGTTTGTTTCAGAACTAACTACAAGAATGTGTGCATCATCCTCCTAAATAATACGTATTTATTTCGGTTTCACAGGTTCATTCACCTGACTAATGAAGGAACTCGGTAGCTCTAGTTTTTATACTAATCTTGTTCTTCCGGCTGATGGTTAGAGCCACAGGCAATGATTTCCTAGAGATTCTGGTGGACCAGTCAAGTTCATATAGAGGCGTTGACTTTGTCTACTTCTGGCCCGAGTGATAAATGACGCATCGAATTTTGGTGTAAACGTGTTCGGTTGTATAACGGATTCTGTGAAGAACTGTTTGATTGAATAACATTTTCTCAATGTCAACTTCTGTTATCTTCAAGCCGCTAACTTTGGAAGGTTTGTGTTCTAAACTGCTGAAAGAGATAAAATGTACGAAAAAAGTGCATATATTTGAAAATAACAAAGAGAACAAACAGAACAGAAAATTACGTACGTCATTAAAATGATGATAACTAGAGACTTTTTGAACTGCATTCGTTGTCTATAAGATAATTTATTGAACAAACTAATGAACAATAGTTGGTACTAAGTTTAAACCCTGTTTAAACACACACCAATCTTTTATTTCTTTAAATAAGATATAAAACTAAGAGGAAGATAATTGTCATCAATTATTCAGGACAGAACAACGGCCAGAAAACGTGTATATTACACAACTCCACTTCCACAAAACTTGTGTATATCAAATAGTTCCCCTTCCACAAAACTTGTGTATATCAAACAATTCCACTTCCACAAAACATCTCTATATCAAACAATTCCACTTCCACAAAACATCTCTATATCAAACAATTCCACTTCCACAAAACATCTCTATATCAAACAATTCCACTTTCACAAAACTTGTGTATATCAAACAATTCCACTTCCACAAAACATGTGTATATCAAACAATCCCACTTCCACAAAACATGTGTATATCAAACAATTCCACTTCCACAAAACATCTCTATATCAAACAATTCCACTTCCACAAAACTTCTGTGTATTAATACATTACACTACCACAAAACCTACGTACATTAATACATTACACTACCACAAAACCTACGTACATTAATACATTACACTACCACAAAATCTACGTACATTAATACATCACACTACCACAAAACATACGTACATTAATACATTACACTACCACAAAACCTACGTACATTAATACATTACACTACCACAAAACCTACGTACATTAATACATTACACTACCACAAAACCTACGTATATTAATAC